TGGGGTTACACATTATATACATTATATATTAGTGGATCATTTATATACTGTGTTATGTATAACAATTATTTGTCAAATGGTTCATCACTCATTCGGTAATGGTATTGAGTTTATGTAATGTTGTTATATAAGTACAGGAGAAGAATAGCCAATGTATTCAAACTTGGCAAACACGTTCCTCATGTCAAGTGCAATACACACACTTCCCAAAATACGGGTCAAAGGTCAAAGCACATGTATGTTCAGTATTCGGTTACAAGTGGAATAGCTAGGAACTTCAAATTTGAAACACATGTTTCCATGTAATCTACAAAAACATGGTCAATATTCGAGACAAAATATGTATGTATTTGTTCATACTTGCAATAAATCACTAAAAAGTACTTGCGTGGAAGTAGGTTTGCTACAATTGGGATCAAATGTTCAGGTTTATATACAACTACAAGGCGAACATAGCTTGTGCTTTTAAAATTGGCAGGCTTTTTGCCAAAACAACTCAAAAAATACAAAAATAAGGTATGATTTTGTTGAGTTTTGAACTACAAGAGGTGGATGGTTCCCGGATGGTGAGACCCACAACCGTCCTGCACAACTCATGTGACCCGATTAACATATCGTGTCAAAGGTCAAGTCCATAGTATGTTTTTTTGTGAAATAAGGAGTAAACAGTTTCAAACAACCGTCTTTCAATATCTGGAACGTGGCCAAAATTATTATTTAAAATAAAAGAAAGCACTTTACTTTTTCGTTGTAGTTTTGTTCCCTTGTTGCAGCATCGTTAGGTGCATGTGATTTCATGAACTGAAAATCAGTCACACGAGCCACTTCTTAGATTTGTTTAGTTTTTAATTCTTTCCCATGATGACTGCCGGAAAGAAACTGTTATAATGTTATTGTTTTAATGTGGTCAAATAATTTACATGTAGTGCAATATTCTACAACATTAAGTACAACATTCCCATAAATGTGTTATGCATGAAACCCTGCAATAGTTTGACCTTAAAATAGATGTTTTGAAATAAATTTCAAATAAAACTCACAAAAATAATTGATATCGTTATAGTCATTGGTAAACAAAATAGAGAAATATTGTATGAAATTAAGCTAGAAATCTATAAGAAATTTCAGTTCTCAAAGGCTTATTGTGTTGTGCATGGTTCAGGCTTAATAAGCAAGCTATACTCCTTGTTCGAGTGCGTTTGTTTAAACCAAAGTGAATCCAATAGACAGTAATCGATTTTACCAAATCCAACGTATTTAACAACACATTAGTATGAACTCAATTTATCGTAGCGAGTTGATGTTCCGACGGCATACATACTATATTTATATCTTCGTATTGGACAGCCATGCTCCAGTTTCTCTGCAATGAACGAATCGCTGTTGAAATCACCACCTTCGATTTCACTAATATGTGCATAATGATTTAGACTGTGCACGTTTATAAAATATGTATATCAAAGAGGAAGGCGTGATGAAAGTGTGTGAGTTAGCATCATGTGGGGGCTCCCTTTTTTTGGACGGTTTCGAGTAGGCGTTGAAAAAAGGAAGAAAAGTTGTTACAATCGTCGGTTCATTCCATACAACGCATCAAGCCAAGACGGATAGGTCTCTCAAGCCTGCGGTATCCCAGCCCGTATAAATAAACTTGGAGACGGCAGTGCGTTGAAGCCGGGTTCGTGTTTCGCAAGCGGAAAATTGGGCCATTGGAAGAAATTAATGTACATCGGACGTCATCATTAATGGGTACAGGTTACCTTTTATTACGACTCCGCCATCAACGATTTTGCCTATCAATAAATCAGTAGTTACTAATTCTGTCTTCGTAGTGGATGAGATTAGCAAGTTGCTTAGTGAGGTTTGTTTAAAAGAAGTTTCAGTTTCTTCGCGTGTTATTCGTTTTTTCGAGACGGTAAGCGCAGACTGGTTTAAACTGCAGGCACATCAATTTGCATTTATTCAAGTATAAATTCTGTTGTGTGGAAATATTTCAATTGCGATAATGTTATTTGTCTAACGATTAATTATTCACCTTTAACTTTAAATGTGTATATCATCGTTTTCTTAGAAGTGTGGTGGGCAAATATTTTGTGTTTTCCGTGCTGTTTTTTGGTATTTCCACGGTGTCGTATCTGTTTACTAAAATTGGTAAGGTTATGGTCGCGTGGTGGCGCTCCCAAGGTTGTCATGTTTTTTAATGATGACAAAGGCCTCGTGACGGCTTATATTCAAGTTGTGAGTGGGCAGGTGCGATCATATCTGGTTAAATTTTTGACACTAGGCTGAAATGTGTTATTGCTGTAACTTATTAAAAGGCACTGGAAGCAGTTATTGGCCGAATTGTCTCTATGCATGCCGGTGTAGGGACGACAGTGTGATTGCGCACTTTTTGTATGCATTATATTTAGACAAACGTGCTAGTTTTGGTTCTGGTTAAACAATATAGAGACCGTTAATGGCACATTGTTAGTTGACGTTAGACAATGTACTAGTATTATGTATACTGATGCATTGCCAGTGGTTATGGTAGATATAGTGTGGGCCTAGAAAGGCCGGAGAAAGGCGCGAAACCATGAAGAGAACTTGAGGCAATTCGTTGCATGTTACTTGGTAACAATGCAGGCCTTAGTGTGCTAGTACGCACAGATAACCATAATGTGATTAGAATAAGGTAAGGTACCTGAGCTGTGGGGGATAGTATTGAGTATTGTGGATGTTTGTAAACGACTGGGGTCGCACGTGGTCCCGGAGTGGGCGCCAAAAAGGCAGAATGCGAAAGCAGATATGTTTAGTAAAATTATCGATAGTAATAATTGAAACATCAATATAAGCATATATAATGTATTGAATTCCATGTGGGGTCTTCATTCTATTGATAGATTTGCTTCTATCTACAGTAAGAAATGTGCGAGGTTTAATTCTAAGACACTGAATATAATGACGCTTTTTGTCAGTTATGGGGAGGTGAAAGTAATTGGCTGGTTCCTCCTCAAAGGCTTGTAACACAGGTAATAGTGAAGTCATACTGTTATTGGTACACTGGTAATACCGTGTTGGCGTTCTGTCGCATTTTAGCCAGTTATTTGTCCCAGTGGCGCAATTTCGCGCCTGTTGTACTGCCAGTGAGACATTTCCACGTGCATGGTTTGAAGTGCCATGTGGGTATTCGTTGTGGCTAGACACCACATTCTACTCGAGCGAGTCGTTTTAGAAGGTAGGAGCGAATTTATGCTTTGGGTTGTATTTTTTGCTACGGCGGGGATCGGTGATAGGTATTGGAAGCGCCTCGGCAGTTGGGGGTCGGAATCCGCTAAGGATGCACATGTGGTTGTCGAACTCAACAGCCGTTCGACAGTATTGATTCGAAGAATTTGGGATTATAAATTTGGATTACAAGTTACCTTTCCAGTTCTTTTATTGGATACATCTTCAACCTTACCTTATTCACACTGTGTATTGCGTATTATTGAGTGGATATGCAGTCGAATGAAGAACACACGTTTCCTAGTTTAGACAATGAAAGCGAGCCCTTAAACGATGCTCACGTTTTATGGGTGACCTAATTAAAGTGCGCCCTCAGATGATACTTACTCGTACATTTTATATAACTGAAGTGAATGTTTTTGCCTAAACCATTTATCATGCATGAAAGTGAAGGCATATCATAGAAACAACTTTGACACGTACACCACAGACTCCAACTTGCACACAACTATAATATGGTTCATTCAACTGGTAAATTGGTATTTTTTAGTAAGACATGACTAAGGAGTCTTAAGTTTAGTTATAATTCAGTCATATTTTCAGAATTATGGCAAGTCATAAAACATTCATATTTTTCTTCATTATTTTAACCAAAATATGATATACTAGTTCAAGTACCATACTTGCCTTGGCATAATCTCACTCCTTTTTACCAGACATTTAACGGGATGAGAGAAATGCATGTAAAAAGTGTGTTTGATTGCATTAAAATCATGATTGGTATGGAAGTTCTTGTATTGGATTGTGTGACGGCTCTGGCGTTTAATTCATGTTTTTAAAAGAAAAACTTGCATAAATTATACAGCTAATGGCGGACAACACAACAAGGTTTGCAACCGTTCGGTTTTAATGATGAATCCAATGTTGCAATACTGACGTAATCCTAGTCTCTGGGTGACTGGAAGCAGGTAGCTTCCGAAATGTCATAAATGTAACCGCTAAGTCGTGAAACCTGGGCATTGGATATGGTTGTACTTTCTGAATACTTAGCATCATTGTAAATAGGGTGTAACAGGTAAACTATACTTTGACATGACATGTCGAACGATGTTAAATATTTTTTCCACACTCGTATTTTAATACAGTAATTCATTGGGATCAAAAGATGCATTTCTAAATATTTGGCAATTTACACAATTATGTCTGTACACACAGACTTGACCTGTAGGTTAGAGAATGTAGTTTCATGTCAAATCATACAGAAAACCAGAGGAAGTTGCTTTGCATTGAGAGTTTGCATGTGGTCGAAAACATTTGACAACAAAGATCTTAAATGACTTTTTACCCACAGACCCTAATAATTTTACACTATAAATTCAGATTGTATGCAAATAATATTGTAATAAAATGTGCATATTTTTTTTCCATTTTTGGGAAAAAGGAAATTAAGAATGATGCAACTTTTATCAGAGACTCATTTCTCCTGAGCTGGCACATGGTGAACGAAAATTATCATTTGGGTGACAGGGTTACAATGTTCACTCTTTACTGAGATTGTCTTCGGGTACACTTCCAGCCATTGCTTTTCCTGGTTTCACATGTTGAAGCCCCTGGGCTTATGCCTGGGGAAGTACAGTAACAAAATTTGACAAAAACAAGCATTGGAAGGGAGTTGCTAATAAACCAAGAATGAAAGGTGGAGAGAGCCGATTGCATCAGATGTTGGAAAGTTTTTTCTAGCCCCTTAACAGTATTTAGATTTGTCAACACAAGCCAGAGGAAAACAAACTAGCACATACTCATAAAACAATGAAGATTTTTTATTTAACACACACACACTGTCCTGTGCCAGTAGATCAAACAGCTGATAACATTTACATATAATGAAGGTATATGCTTCAAAGAGGAGGTAAGATGTAACAAACACAACGTATATCAAGAAGTGGTATAACAGTTCTTCAATCACACGGCAAGCTGCTACTTATAGTTATACATCATTGACGTAGAGTGAAGGATCTTTCCTCTTGGACTTCTTATTTGCGTCAGTACCCCACCTGTACACCATGTAGTATATTATGAATGCTACAAGATAAGTAGAAATAACATCAATAGGGAAACTGTGTACGTATTTGTCAAAGGATATGAATATGGGCCAAGACAATGTCAGTCAAAAGCACATGGCGTTTGGGTCCAGATAGGTTAAATGTTATGTTTGTCAGTACACACAGGGTTATGAAGATTACATAAAGTACTAAAAATCACTAGACAGTAGCTTGCAGTGTTTTGTTGGAAAAAAGAAATGTTCTCAAATACACATATTCTGTTTTTGACAGATAACACTTAATCCTTTGCAAAATGATGTATCAACATGCCAAATTTGATAATAGCGAGTGCAGCAAGAGTGGCCGAAGGCCAATGGAGAAAGCGAGGTATGTAGATAACGTGTATATACATGTATATATATATATATATAGTCTAGAAGTGGGAGTCGATTATTCCAAAACAAAAGTGCTCAATACAAAGTATATGTACAACAGATAAATGCGGTAATAGAGGAATTAATACACAACTACATGAATATTGAAACTCGACAGCACTGTTTCGTAAAGTACAAGTACCTCACTCATCAGGAGCTTTATGTTTAATTCACTGCACCAACGAGCATACATATACTTCGCAAATTAACATATTAATTAAAAATAAAAACATACAGGTTTAAGTGTTACATAAAAAGGCTTTTGATCTGTGTCGGCATGATGATACAAGTTCATTTCTTTTGTTTAGTGTGGAGTAGTGAGGTCTAAAAATTATTATAAATTTTTCCTTCAAACATAGAATGCATCGTTTGCTGGAGCTACTGTACGGGCTACCACGAGCAAGAATTTTCCATGTTATTCTGTGCTCAATATTTTTTTCTTTGAGTAACCAAACATGTTTACTTAGTTCTGTCGCATTTCTAGACGCCTGATTACGAAATGAGGCAGTGTGGTTTCTGTACCTTGTTTTGAATTCATTTCCAGTGAGACCGACGTACGTTTCGCTAGTTTGTTTGTCTAAGCGCGTAACTTCCGCTTGGTATATCACGCCGAACTGCAAACACTTCCCGTCCAGTGTATATATAAATATACACACAGAGTATGGAAGAAATCTATATATTCTAAGCATTTGAAAACAGTGCACTTCAGGTCATTTTGTTTGCTTGTTCCACAAATTATGCAAAGCAAGAGAGCTCATTCATGATAAAACAACTTCAGAATGTTGTTCAATGATATTTGTCCTCTGACAACGGACTGAAAATAGTTCAACTTTGAATAGTGTTTTGGGTCATTTTCATCAGAGGTGACACACGAATGAGATGTGGTACCATCTTAAATTCCACTCAACTCATGTGAACTAATAACTCAACTTCTGAAGTTTACCACTTTCTGTGTCCTATGGTTACAACACTTATATTTTTTGTAAATCAATTAACTACTACATATTATCTGTTTTAGAATTTCTAGTTAGTAAACTAACAGAACTACTGGTAGTGAAACAACAATTGAGTGAATGATAGTAATTTCATTATTATCTATTTATAACTTACAAGTCATGTCACACCATTGTACTGTTACTTGTATTTATGTTTAATTCAACTTACGTGGAGCAATTCTGAAAATTCGGCTGTGAAATCGTCTCCAGACATTGGGAAGCCCATCTTTGAAGAAACCAGCAAATGCCCGCTGTTCAAATGGCGATAAACTGTATGAGATGATACCCCTCACTTTTGTTAGGTTGCCAAAGGAACGACCCATCTTGAATAACAGCCTGTAATTAACGAAAATAAACTCATCACAAAAAATAAATAAAATAAACTCATCATCACATCATGGTATGGTCAAAACAGTTTTGAATTGTTCACATACATGTATTGTTTGTCTACACAAATTGAATTATAAATAAGCCCTCGACGTATGGCATTATAATGCACCTACATGTAGCTCTGGGTTCATACAATGAATTATGAAGCTCCCCTTGTGTTGGTCTTTAGTCTGTGTGATAGCATTTCAGTCATTTCTGAAACGGTCATTTTATCAACACAGAAGAGGTATGGTATGATATTCCTGTACAGCGAACATGTTGTCTGCAGATACGTGTACATGTATGTACCGTTTACAGTTTTTTTATAAAAATATACAGGAAATGTGATTCCATAGTGTGATACGTGTAGTATCACTTAGGAAAATAAACAGTAAATACCAAGCGGCCCAGTAGCAGTAGTAGACAACCGTTTCTGGCATTTTTAATGTACACTTTTCTCGAGGAAAGACAAGTGCTACTATAGTCTTTTGGGCAAGTAATTTTGATGTCCCTCGACTAGCCTGGACTTTGTCTATGGAAGTTCTCA